TGTGTGTGTGTGTGTGTGTGTGTTGTGTGTGGTGTGTGTGTGTGTGTGTGTGTGTGTGTGTGTGTGTGTGTGTGTGATAAAACATGTTAAACAAAACGGTCAAAGGTCAGGTAATCATCCTGGTGAGTTCAAAGTTGAACGATCAGAGAGACTCCATCAGCTGGCTCACATTACAACAGGTAGGTCAAAGGTCACTGACAGCAGAGCATTATAGAGAGTTAGGCCTGGTTCACATAGTCCTGGTATTCATTGACCTGGTCTACATAGACCAGTTAAACATAGACCAGGGCTACATAGACCGGGTTTACATAGACTTGTTTGGACCTGGTTGGTTCTGACTGTGCTGTTACCTGAGCCGGTCATAGGGTAAACCAGGATCAGACACAGTCTTACCCTGACCCTGAGCCCAGAGAGGATCAATAAATGATTATTGATTTAATGAACAAGCATGGAGCAGAGCCTTGAACACAGGAGGAGAAGATAAGGATCAGACTGAACTATTACAACACAAAGCCTGAGGGGGGCGCTACATCTGCTGGGTGGAGTTCCCGTTCCAGGTGTTGTTGTCGTCCTCGCTGTCCTCCTGAGTCCTCAGACGGCAAACTTTACCGTCTTTCTTGAAGTCTCTGGGACGCTTCTCCACCGAGTGTTTGGACAGAGTTTCCCTGGGGGAAGACACATGTATCATAAATACACACACACACACACACACACACACACACACCACACACACACACACACACACACACACACACACACACACACACACACACACCACACACCCACACACACACACACACACACACACACACACACACACACACACACACACACACACAACACACACACACACACACACACACACACACACACACACACACACACACACACACACACACACACACAAGCAGTTCCACCTTACCGCTTTGTTTTGTCCGATGTTGCTGTGGAGTTTGAGTAGGAGTTGGACTGGTGCTGGACGGGGTCTCTGGATGACGTTCCAGGAGGGGGCGGGGCTGTAAACAGGAAGGAGCTGAGGAATCTCCACACAGCCAGCAGAGGGTAGAGGAGCGTGCCCAGAACCGCCCAGATACCGCCCCCAGAGGACTGAGCCACCGTGTTAGAAGGTCTACTAGACTGCTGCGAGGACCAATCACAACAGATAAATTATACACTGACTAGAGACACGTCAAAACAACAGACACGTCAGACACTGACTAGAGACACGTCAGACACTGACTAGAGACACGTCAAAACAACAGACACGTCAGACACTGACTAGAGACACGTCAAAACAACAGACACGTCAGACACTGACTAGAGACACGTCAAAACAACAGACATGTCAGACACTGACTAGAGACACGTCAGACACTGACTAGAGACACGTCAAAACAACAGACACGTCAGACACTGACTAGAGACACGTCAAAACAACAGACACGTCAGACACTGACTAGAGACACGTCAGACACTGACTAGAGACAAGTCAGACACTGACTGGAGACACGTCAGACACTGACTGGAGACACGTCAGACACTGACTAGAGACACGTCAGACACTGACTGGAGACACGTCAGACACTGACTAGAGACACGTCAAAACAACAGACATGTCAGACACTGACTGGAGACACGTCAAAACAACAGACACGTCAGACACTGACTGGAGACACGTCAGACACTGACTGGAGACACGTCAGATACTGACTAGAGACACATCAGACACTGACTGGAGACACGTCAGACACTGACTGGAGACACGTCAGATACTGACTAGAGACACGTCAGACACTGACTGGAGACACGTCAGACACTGACTGGAGACACGTCAAAACAACAGACACGTCAGACACTGACTAGAGACACGTCAAAACAACAGACATGTCAAAACAACAGACACGTCAGACACTGACTAGAGACACGTCAAAACAACAGACACGTCAGACACTGACTAGAGACACGTCAAAACAACAGACACTGACTAGAGACACGTCAGATACTGACTGGAGACACGTCAAAACAACAGACATGTCAGACACTGACTAGAGACACGTCAAAACAACAGACACTGACTAGAGACACGTCAGACACTGACTAGAGACACGTCAAAACAACAGACACGTCAGACACTGACTGGAGACACGTCAGACACTGACTAGAGACACGTCAGACACTGACTGGAGACACGTCAGACACTGACTAGAGACACGTCAAAACAACAGACATGTCAGACACTGACTAGAGACACGTCAGACACTGACTAGAGACACGTCAGACACTGACTGGAGACACGTCAGACACTGACTAGAGACATGTCAGACACTGACTAGAGACACGTCAGACACTGACTAGAGACACGTCAGACACTGACTGGAGACACGTCAGACACTGACTAGAGACACGTCAAAACAACAGACACGTCAGACACTGACTAGAGACACGTCAAAACAACAGACACGTCAGACACTGACTGGAGACACGTCAAAACAACAGACACGTCAGACACTGACTAGAGACACGTCAAAACAACAGACACTGACTGGAGACACTTCAGACACTGACCAGAGACACGTCAAAACAACAGACACGTCAGACACTGACTGGAGACACGTCAGACACTGACTAGAGACACGTCAAAACAACAGACACATCAGACACTGACTAGAGACACGTCAGACACTGACTGGAGACACGTCAGACACTGACTGGAGACACGTCAGATACTGACTAGAGACACATAAGACACTGACTGGAGACACGTCAGACACTGACTAGAGACACATCAGACACTGACTGGAGACACGTCAGACACTGACTAGAGACACGTCAGACACTGACTGGAGACACGTCAAAACAACAGACACGTCAGACACTGACTGGAGACACGTCAGACACTGACTGGAGACACGTCAAAACAACAGACATGTCAGACACTGACTGGAGACACGTCAGACACTGACTAGAGACACGTCAAAACAACAGACACGTCAATACTGACTAGAGACACGTCAGACACTGACTGGAGACACATCAGACACTGACTAGAGACACGTCAGACACTGACTAGAGACACGTCAAAACAACAGACACGTCAGATACTGACTAGAGACACGTCAAAACAACAGACATGTCAGACACTGACTAGAGACACGTCAGACACTGACTGGAGACACGTCAGACACTGACTGGAGACACATCAGACACTGACTGGAGACATGTCAAAACAACAGACACGTCAGACACTGACTGGAGACACGTCAGACACTGACTAGAGACACATCAGACACTGACTAGAGACACGTCAAAACAACAGACATGTCAGACACTGACTAGAGACACGTCAGACACTGACTGGAGACACGTCAAAACAACAGACACGTCAGACACTGACTAGAGACACGTCAGACACTGACTAGAGACACGTCAAAAACAACAGACACGTCAGACACTGACTAGAGACACGTCAAACAACAGACACGTCAGACACTGACTAGAGACACGTCAAAACAACAGACATGTCAGACACTGACTAGAGACACGTCAGACACTGACTAGAGACACGTCAAAACAACAGACACGTCAGACACTGACTAGAGACACGTCAAAACAACAGACACGTCAGACACTGACTAGAGACACTTCAGACACTGACTAGAGACACGTCAGACACTGACTAGAGACACGTCAAAACAACAGACACGTCAGACACTGACTGGAGACACGTCAAAACAACAGACACGTCAGACACTGACTAGAGACACGTCAGACACTGACTAGAGACACGTCAAAACAACAGACACGTCAGACACTGACTAGAGACACGTCAAAACACAGACACGTCAGACACTGACTAGAGACACGTCAGACACTGACTAGAGACACGTCAAAACAACAGACACGTCAGACACTGACTAGAGACACGTCAAAACAACAGACACGTCAGACACTGACTAGAGACACGTCAGACACTGACTAGAGACACGTCAAAACAACAGACACGTCAGACACTGACTAGAGACACGTCAGACACTGACTAGAGACACGTCAAAACAACAGACACGTCAGACACTGACTAGAGACACGTCAGACACTGACTAGAGACACGTCAAAACAACAGACACGTCAGACACTGACTAGAGACACGTCAGACACTGACTGGAGACACGTCAAAACAACAGACACGTCAGACACTGACTAGAGACACGTCAGACACTGACTGGAGACACGTCAAAACAACA